CCAGCCCAGAGCAGTCTACCCCTAGCAGTAGTCGTTTCACCCTCCCTTAGTAGCTGGCAGCCTCCGGAGAGGAGAGGCCAGCATCTCTGCTTCTCTGAGGCCTGCTGGCGAAGGGCCCAAGGGCATGTACAAAGGAAGCAATCAGTTCCATAAAGCGTTCCCACCACGTGACTTGATTCGGAAGCAGGGGGCAGCCTGTCCTCGCCCCTTTACCTTCATATTGCTGAGGAGGCCCCAAGCCAAACTTTGGAGACAGAATGTTTCATTTATCCTGCCCTTGCAAGTGATCTTTAGGATAGCAGGTGAGAAAAAGCCTGAAGAAGGAAGATTCTGTCAAGCTCTGTCAGGTCAAAATAAAGATGGGGCGCTCACTGCCCCAATATAAGCCAGTGGTCAGAAAATCTGCCCAACTCTCTGGGTCTCTCTTTCCCATTCCAGTACCAAAAGTACCTTGACCAAAAAGTCCAGACTAAACTGAAAGTATAATTTATAACCACAGACATGGTCCTCCATAGCCAGTGACATTTCTAATCAGCATTTGTGATCACATTACCCTCCTGAGCACAACTGTCTGATGGCTCCTTACTGCCCAGAGAATCCAGTCCACCCTCCTGGCCCTTTACGAGCGGGCCCCACGTGCCTGTGTGACTATGCAGAAGTTCTCGTTGTCGGACACAATCTCACCCATTGCCTGGTCCTGTTTCCCTTCCTGGAGAATGCAGCCTACTCTTCTTCTAAGACCCTGCTCCAGAGCTGCCTGCCTTCAGGGCTTTCCTGACTCACCTCAGCCCTTCTCTTGAAGACCCTGTCACCTTGGACTTCCCTGAGCCCTGTTCTGTATTATGCTCTTTAGCCACCTGCTCTCCTCTTTCAGTGTCCCACGTGTCACTCAAATCCCAAGTTTCATATGGGCAGGAACTACATCGTCCTGTGCATTGAGCCAGTGCTCACACAGAAGAGATGCTCAGGAAGCCTCTGTGGGGAGGTGAATCATGATTAAGCCAAAAGGCAAGTCATCTCTAAGGGGTTGGCGAAATACAGCCAGCTTCGGCAAAATGCTGCTTACTTTGCAGGGGTTGGCAAGCTGCGGCCCTGTGTATGTGGAAGTGAAGCTCTATCAGAACGCAGCCATGCTCTCTATTCACACACTGCCTCTGACTGCTTTTGTGCTACAATGGCAGAGCTAAGCAGTTGCAGCAGAGACCACATGCTCCATAAAGCCTGAAATGCTTACTATCTGGCCCTTTACAGAAAGGACTTGCAGACACAAGTCCTTTATATTTAAATTCCCATATATTTTTACCTTTCGCCTCTTTAGAGGTGAGATTTGTGTGGCCTGTTGAGTAACAGTCAAGGCTGCTTGCAGCTAAGAGACACCTGGCCCTGGAGTTCTGGCCACCCAAAGGCTGACTGGATCCGTGTCCACAGCTGCCACCTGAGCCACAGTCCCCAGCAGCACTGTAGAAAAGAGGTGCAGAAACCCACACTGGCCTTCAGTTCTCCCCGTTCATTTAGAAGCAAAGGTGGCAACACTGGGACAGACACAAAACAAATCCTCCAATCATCTCACAATTTCATGGCCTTTTCCCTCCCTTAAAGAACTTTGGAAGGAATGTCCGCCACCTTCACACAGGCTGAAGACTGTGTTCCACAGATGCTGAATCCAACAAGCTCCAACCCTTGCTTAGGTTAAAAATGGATTAACTTTTTGCCAAGCAGAAGGCCTCAGCATGAACGACCACCCGGTACCTGTGACTCCTGGCTGGAGAGCCCAGCCCGGTGGAAACTCAGGGAAAGGATGCAGATGCTGACAGGTTACAAGTCCCTCCCCACCCACTGACAACGGAGACGCTCGAGCTCTCCAGCACAATGGAGTGTGGCCTACAAAGCCCCCGTTTCCTAGCCAGGTGGAGATGGCCCTCGCTCCGTTCCACCTCCTCTGTGCCCTGTCAGTATCTTCTCTATTCCCCTGTGCTTCCCCATCCTGGTCAGAGACCCCATTGTTCTCTCCATTGCCCACTGAGCAGTGGTCCAGGAGAAGTACTCCAGCAGGTCCCCCTCCCCCGGATGGGCGCTGTTGTTCCTTGGCCCAGGGTTGGGGGCTACCATCTTCCTGTCCCTACCCAGTCTGGCCGAGGAACCCGGCCTGTGAGGAGATGCCATTCCTGCCTCACCATCCCTCTGCTGCCACAATCCATCAGCCTCCCTCAAGCCTCGCCTGGCTGATGGCAACAGCATCTTCCTCATCAGTGCTCCTGACTCTGGTCCTTAGCTATCCAACTGTCCCAATCGGCCCTCCGAACTCTCACCGTCATGGACGACGGTAATCACTCAAGGACATAGCACCCAGGGCCTTCCAAGAAATGGCTGCAGATTGTTGTGTCCCACCTGCGACTTCACTCTGCTAACCATTTCAGTTTCCACAGCAAGGCCCTTCATGCTCTCCAAGTGGGCACACTCTCTCTGTGCACGCCAGGCCTCTCCTGACTCCCCTCCTGGGCACCCCCGTCTGTCTCAATGGGAAGCCTGTAATTCTTGGTAAGTTACTCAATAAGCACTTCTGTTCTGAGGCCTGGCTCCTCTCCTGCACTCAGTGGGAGACCTGGGAATGGGCCTGCCAGCCCCTAGCCTACAGCCACTAAGGAGCATCCCTAGCAGGGAGGAGGAGACCCACTGAAGCCTTTCTCCCTGCACAGAGGAGGACTCTCATTCTGTCCAAATCCCCTGAGCATCTTTCTCTCCCTCCCTGTACTCTCCATCTGGGTCAATGATTTCACTTTCTACTCAGTCGTCTAAGCTGCAAATTTTGACATTTTCTCCAACTGCTCCTTCTCCCCCAACACAGAGCCTGGTAGAAAGCAGTAGGTGACAGTGAATGTTTTCTCAATAAATCTATGTGCCCAAGAAGGGAGACATGGTCTTGGCAGTGCCACCAACCACATCAGAGTTCATCCAAACTGACATTCCACAGAAGAAATTCCCCTTCGCCATCCACACAGCTGGCTTCTTGCTTGAACATGCCCATAACAGGGAGCTCCCATCACACCTCAGCTGCTCTCCCACGGCCACTTGCTCTATCATTGCAGGAGGTGTATTTTAGCTCAAATTGCCCAACTGTCATCCCATAATTGTCTTTTACTCTTTGGAACCAAATACAACAAATATAATCTCTTAAAAATACCTGACGGGAGTGCCCGTGTTCTCTCCAGGTCTCCTCTTCACCAGCCTCAACCTTCTGGTCCATCTCATTTCAAGGTGCTTTCAGCTTTCCTGAGTTCCCCAGGTGCCCATTTCCACAGGTTTTTTACCTCCCAGATGATGCCTACCATATTCATTTAACATAGCCTCTGCAGGAATGAAGGATTTTAGAAAGCTGAGCAGCTTCCAAGACCACCTACATGACAGAAGCATCCTAGGAGATCCCAACACCAGATTGCTCTGGAAAACGTGCTACTGTGACGGTGATCCCGTGGGTTAGAGCACATGTTTGAAGGCCTAGCCAGGAACAGAGGATGGCCAAAACCAAAACGTGGATGAGGCTGAACATAAAACACACACTCCAGCAGCACATCCCCCATCCTCCTTCCCACCCCTAAGGAGCTCTCCAAATGGTGATCACTGAATTTGCACTTTATTATAGGGTTCAATTTCAGTATAAAATGATCATCTGTGGAGATTGACCACAACTGTTTAGCTGGCAAAAAAATACAAAACAAAACAAAAAAACAGGCTGCGTGTCCTAGGACTAACCAGTTGGTCACCTTACCCAGGAGCACATAACAAAGGAACCAGAAAAAGAATGAGCCCAGCAAGTCTGAATTTTGGAGGGCTGGGGAAGGATCAGGGAGATATGAGTTGGTTTTTGCTTGTTTTGTTTCAAGGCACACAGGGAATAGCCCAGAATCCTGGAGGAAAGGTAGGTAGAACACGTGACAGAGAGGAGAAGCCACTGCTGCCACCTGGGCTTGGAAAAGAGAGCAAACATTGGCCGGCACTAGCAACACAAACCACCTGCACAGAGCACAGCCTCAGCCTGCGTGAGCGCTGCCACTTACAGTGCTATAATTTGGGGCAAGTCACTTTAAGCATCTATTTCCTAATCTGTAAAAGGAGAAAATTTCTAATTCTACAGTTGTGGTGAAACTCAAAACTAATTCCTCAGAAAGGGCTACTGTTAACTCTTAAAAACAGTCTAAGAAATGTTATTTCTTCTTGTGGTTAAAAACTAATTAGGAGCCACAATGTTTTGCCACAAACCAGCAGGGTGGTTTGGAGAGATCTCTGGGCTCCAGTCTCCCTGTCTGCAGAGTCGGAAAAACAGTCTGTGCACCGCTGCTTCTCCAAGACCCACCAGTAGAGCAAGGCATGAAATGACAAGTGGGAAAGGACCTGAGAGAGTACTGTGTTCTACGAATGCCAGGCGCTCATTCTCCCCGACACAGTCATGCTCTAGAACACGACAACCTCAGGTTTCAAAGGTTCCTTTCTCCCACTCCCTTCCAGGATTACAGCAGGGTGCACAAACAATGCCAACTGCCAAGAAAGATAATGACCTATGGTGGGTGAGGAATACCTTTCCCTAAAAGGATCCTGCAGCCATCCCCACACCACCCCCCCACACCCCCACCCACACACACCCACACACACACCCCCCCACACCCCCACCCACACACACCCACACACACACCCCCCCACACCCCCACCCACACCTAAGCAGAGACCCAGCTGTCATTCATTAGCCAAGGAGCTGGTAAAGTGGCTTACAGCAGCAGAATTTTCAGACAAGTTCAGCAGAGTGGTTCACAGGCAGCAATTAGAGACCCCAAAGCCATCCAAGCAGGGCTTACCGTACACGGGTCCAACTTAGAAGGAAGACAATGAACTTCAGGCTGGCAGCCTGCCCTGAGGCCTACTCCAAGGGGAACTCGTGGCCATGACAGCCGACCTCTGCAGTCTGCCACTGCCCTGTCTCTGCTGAGTACTTGGCCAGGGACACCTTCTTGCACTTAAATCCCAAGCCTGGGCTGCTGCCCCTCTATGCTCCTCTTCCTTGTACCCAGTGAGCCAAAGCCTCACCTGCCTGCCTTCAGAGTCTGGCTTAAATCGTTGAAGACATCCTCATAACCTATCTCAGGCCAGGCACAGACAAGCACTCAGAAAAGATAAGCTAAGTGAAAAAACATAACCTCAGGATTTCACTGAAATTCAGAGAAAAATAAACTTTAAATAAAAATGCTTCCTCTGTTTATACAGATGCAATGCAGTTGTTCAGTCTATCTTTCCAGTATGTTAAATACTTCTTCACAATCGGTTTAAATGAAAATATCCTTTTTAGGCCAGGTTATCTGTTTTGGAGTCATCTCAAGTCAGAGGGCTTGGCTTCCAGCAGAGCCCATCCTGTCAGCCCCAGCCTTTTAATCCATAGCATGATGGACAGAAAAAGGCTTTAGAACAGAGCTAGGTTCCATTAATGTTTCTGGCACTTAACTTGGAGCATCGGTTTCTTTGGTAAAATAGGGATACTACTACTTCCAAGAAAGTAGCTGGAGAATTCAGAGGATGTCCAAGTGCCTGGCAAACAAGATACAAACGCTGCTCTCTCTCCTTCCCCTGCCCTTCCTGCTGCTTCAATTTACTGCTGCCCCAAATGACCTAAACTGAAGGCTACTATTCACCTCATTACTTGGCACATTTAGCTGACACTTGAATGGAGAGACCTTTTGTCCAGGGCTGAAACTGCCTGGGCAAATGGCAGCTATCTTCACCCTGCCCACCAGCAGGATGGCACAGTTCATTTGAAGAAACAACAAAGTTCTGCCAAGACAGACCAAGACGCTCCTCAGAATGAGTAATTCGAATGTTAACAACTGATCCATCAAAGCAAAAAAAAAAGAAGTCCTCCCTCAATGCTGGCTGAATGAGGCAAAGACTCCACCTAACAGCCTCCTCTGGGAGGAACGCACTAACTTTTGCCAGGGCATTAGCTATACAAATATTTCTTAGATTTAAGAAAAACGTCTTGACTACAATGCAAATCTTCTTTGCCTCCTTAAAGGTAACACAGTCCTTGACTACGCACAGTTTTGATAAACTCAGAGCATCTGAGGGCTCAATCTATGTTCGCCACTTAGCTCACCTCTTACCAACAGCCAAGGATGCATCTGCCCACCTGCAGAGGCTCCTGATCTTTGTAGACACACAAGGAATGGAAGGTGTACACTCTGTTTAATGCAACAGCATCAGTTTCATCATGTACCAATTTTCCTCTTATCGAAAAGCAGCTTCCCAACTGTGTCTGGATAGATGGATAAGTAAATGGACAGACAAAGACAAAGATGAATAGACGGGCAGACATGTTTTCTCTGAGATTAATAGGCAGAAGGGAGGCCTCGTATGGTGACGAACGTAGATTTTTTTCCCCCAAAAGTATCAAAGCAAGCTGGAAGGGACAAGCTGTAGGAGTGCTTTTCAGAGAAGCATCCTGGTCCACAGCCTTTTAAGCACACCAATCAGTTTCCTCCCTTCCTTTCTGTGCTTTATAGGAACTTGCTTTCTAACTACTAAACACTGGTAAGTCCCCAAGGTTAGATTCCGGAGACAGCTGTAACGAAACACCTTTCTTTAAATTTACTGCACCAGGTGGACACTTGGACTCAGCAGGTGAATATTCTATGATCAGCCCTTGCACCCTTTAATCCCCCACAAAAAAACAAGTATTTACAAACCCTTGGCAGCAGATTGGCTGGTAATTTAATGACTGTAACAGACACATGAGCGATTTCCTTAAGCTTGGATCTGCTGCAACCTCACCACACTAGCTCTCACCAGGTCTTTGGGGGCTGTCTTTTGTCTAACTCCTAGATACCCGGAGTCCTCTCCCAAAGCCTGGCAGCAGCCAACACCTATCAGCACCAAGGAACCAACACAGTTCCACCCTGAGCCGACTGCACCTGCCTCTCAAACAGCTGTTGGCACACACAGCCTTGCCCTCTTCACATTCATCCTCACCTCAGCCAACCACGGTAAGAACAGTCGACATTTACTGAGTACTTACTATGCACCAGGTACTGTTCAAAACACTTTATGTGTATTAATTCATCTAATTCCTGAGCCCCATGGGAATGTGCTGGAGAGAGAGAAATTCTTTGGCCCAGATTTCCACATGGTTTCTATTCTCTATCTCTAGCTGCGCTGTAAAGCTTACATAACCTAATTTGCATTATAGTACTATTTTTAAAAACCTCCAAAGATTGCTGCTTCAAAGCATCAATGGAATCTGTTAGCTCCTACCTAAAATGATAATGTGGCAAAGGATATCTATTCTTACAACCAACTTAACTGGAATTCTTGACTTAAAACAGTCTTTCAGGAAGATGCTATTAACAAAGGAAGGGACTCATTCTTATATAAATACTAGCTCAGTGCTCTGTAAATAAGGGCTAGAGAGAAACACATCAATATTGAAACCCACCTCAGCAGTAGTTTCTGGCTCTGCAGTTGTTATTCATTTACCACCCATCCCCTTTCCAGGACTCCTAATAACACTGAGAAGTCTGTGGTCACTAGACAGCATGGCGTCAGACTGTAGAGAGTATGAGTTTGAAAACACAGAACATTTCTCATTCTGGTTGGTTCAGGGAGAGCCCCCACCCTCTCTCAGGAGGCACCGGCATAAGTTGAATGGGAATTAGGGGAAGACCATTCACAGAGCAGGTTGTTTTCAGCTTTAACTGCTGTTAATGTCCCTGGTGTATAGGGCTCTAGATATCTAATTGCTGGGTGGAGGCAGGGCAGGCAGCGGGATCTCCTTAGTTCTTTCTCCTAAGTCACCACTGAAGATTTTCCTCCAGTTATTAATGAAATCTTTAAGAAACAGGGAAGTAAGGGTGACACTTTCCTCATTTGTCATTTAAAAAAAAATGTACTCAGTGTTTAACCACCGTCTGTTGCTATACTATAAAAACTACTCGGAAAGGACTGGAGTATTTGTTATTCAGTTCATTACATTCACTTACTGGACAGAGGTCCATGAACATAAACCACAGTAGGTTTCAGGCTCTCAAAACTGCCAGGGAAATATTTTAAATGAGTGAATTTCCAAGTCACAGCTATTTTGGTGATGTCAGAGGGCCTACATTATTAAATCATTTATAATTAAACTAATAACTAAGCTAATATACTTTTTTGCCACAATTAACAAAATATTTGTTTCTCAAAGTAGGATATTTGTAATAGGCCCAATTCCAACAACAAGGAGACTCTCCGAATTAAAATGCTTCCACTGGTCACAGCCTCTGTTCACTCATACCCAGAAGAGGACCTGGCACCTGATAGGCACTGGGCTGTTTCAGCAGGACTGGATTGTACTCAGTACTAGTCAGCTATGCCTTGTACAACCTTTTAAAGATGCCAAAGCCACATTCAACGTACATACAGATTCTGCATGGAAAAAACAAGAGTTGTTCCAGCAACTTTAAAGTGAGTAATCAAAAGAAACTGCTACTTAGAAACAAATAGGAAACATGAAATTCATTTTAATCTACATATATCAAATACAGCCTTAGCACAGAACATCTAACACAATTAAAATGCATTTATGGGACATACCTAAATGAAGCAAATCTTTATTAAAATATCTGGCCTAACCCTCACATCTTTACATGAATGAACTCCATGATGGCCGAATAAGGTGGGAAATAAATAATCTAGCTACCTAACTTGGAAAAGACAGATGGATTGCTTAAAGTCTATTTGGTCTCTGTAGACTCGATATTCACCACCCCAAGTCTTGCTAAAGATGGTACTGCAAATAATTAGCTTAAAACAGTCAGTTATATACTTTTCCATAGTTACCATAATATTTTGGTTTTGTTTTGTTTTGTTTTTCATTTTCTATTGCTTTTTTTTTTTTTTTTTGGCTTTTTTTTTTTTTTTTATTAGGGCATACAACACAGATCGGAGACTTTCATTTCTCGGAGACATTTCTCTCCTTGAGAAATTGGCACTTTGATCCTCAGCCTGTCTAACAGATCACACATACGATCCTACCAGCACTGTTACCAACCTTGCGGCTTAGGAAATTCCACTGCTTTGGCCAAAAGAGTGCCCTGTCATTAAAATCTTCTTAGATGAACTGTTCCTATCACTGAATTCTTATATTTAAACAGGTATGTGTGTGTAATTTACATACATGTTATTCCCTAAGTTTCTACACACACACACACACACACACACACACTCTCTCTCTCTCTCTGTCTCTCTCTCTCTCTAATTTAGTATAAGTGAAATGTCTCTCTTGAATAAAAGTAGTTACAAGGGTATTAAAACAAATGTTGAAAAATAACTTCTTTACATTTAGACCGTACAATTTTTAAAGGTAATGCGATGACATATGACCTAAGAGATCAAATACATCATATATGATTGTCATATATGCATGTTGTGTTATTTTTCTCTTTAATCAGAAAATAAAAGAGCTTACCTTTGTATACTGAGATCACAGCTTACAGTCACTATATCTCAGCCTATTTTATACAAGTGATATGGCTACGAAGGTCCGAGGAGAACGAGAATAAAGTGAGATAAACGTGCTGAAAACTGCTTAAAAGTATTAACCTGAAATACACAGAGGGTCCAACACCAGTTTTAAAAATACATTAACGAGGTATTCCCAGCTCTTCAATTAATAACGGTGGCTGATTCATGATTTTCAAACATTCACCCAAAATTAAAAAAAAGAAAAGAAAATGCCAATACCAGCAAAATCTAACGTGGTTGGTTCCCCAGGCTAACAATTTGAGAGAGACTACAAACACTTCAGGAACTATGTAAACTCAGCTCCTTGCTTCACCACCCATGCACTTCATCTAGTCAGCATGAGGTATGTTGGAAATCTACTGGACCAATTACCTTGCACAAGAGATGGGGTACTCCTGCTGCCTGAAGAAACACAGGCTGCAAGCCACATCCCTGGCTAGGCGCCAGTCCCCATGCAGAGGATATGGCTTCAAGGAGGACCCCTATCTCTGAGAAATTATAATAGCGCTAACTGACGCAGTCAGGAATGTAACTATTTATGTGCTAAAAAGTGTAAAAACTGTCAGAACACAGCACAGCTCACACACTAATTCTAAGCTCTACATTGATCTGTAAACTCCCTGACAAGAAACTATGCTAAAAGGGGTTAAGTACAGATATTGCTAGGTTTCTAAAGGAAAAGTTTTAAAACAGACACCGTGGCTTTGAACAAAGTATTGCTCTTCTTTAAAATGATCAGTCATTGCTTTCAAAAAGAAGGTGTCAGAGTGGTGTATCTGAAAGCTGGATAGCCTCAGGGTGTCACATTACTCTTAAGACCAAGACATAGAAATTGCCATTTCAAGCCAGACAACCTGATGGTTCTAGAAGTCAGAGAAGAAATCTTGAGGGCCCAAGTGAATAATAAATGGTGCGACGCTCAGAGGCTGGCAATAGGGGCTGTCAATGAAAAAACCACCTACAGTGGAGAAAAGAGCAGAGAAGCAAAACTTTATGTTAATTTCAGGCAAATTCGTGAAGCCAAGAGCTTCATTTATATTTCTCTGCTCTTTCAGCTGTAAGTGGAATTTTCATTACAAAATGAAAGGGTGGGAAGGGCAACAGGTGGGGGGACACTTAATTCATTACAGAATTTAAACAGTTGAACTTGCATGGTTACCACTTCTAACAAAGGACTGACAGCTCGATTATTTTAAGTAAAGCAGAGAAATGTAAAAGTTTGCAGCAACTGGGCAGGTTTACAACATGGTTAGTAACTTCCAACAAACAACAAAATTAAAAAAAAAAAAGGACTTGGTAGAAACCATTTGAAATGACTGCCATCATGTTGGAAAACAGCACAGCTCCCTTTTCACCATTACAGAGGGCATGAGTTATGAAGCAGAGTCAGCTACTTCAAAAGAATTTTCTAATGAGAAATCTCTAGAGATTCCAACTTGGAATCCAAATTTGATGACCAATTTCAAATAACAATACAGCTGCAGCTGCCAATTAATAGTATTCCAAAGACAATGAGGACTATTGTAAATATTTAATTAATAAAAACTGGACACTACAGCCATGCTTTTTCTTCTCAGTGATGGCTCTGTTTCATCCATAGGTCAGCAAAACGCATCAATGAAACATGAAAACTCCCAGCTGAAATGGGCCCTCTTGTTTACGTCTAGCCACTAATGCACAGGATGAGAATGATACGTTACAGCTATTTCCAGCAAGTGATGAGGTTTTATTAAAGTATCACCCACCACTAATAAAGACAAAAGACCAAGGAGAAGAAACAAACTATGTATCTGAGAAGTGACACTAACATGTGTTGTATATTGCCCATTTCACCTTTGTTTAGTGGTCCCAAAGAAATTTGGTACACAAATTTGCCATATTTTGTGAAACCCATTCTCATGGATGGGTCCTGTCCAGTTAGTTCCCAAAGGCAGAATTCAATAGGGAAAAGGAAAGTGAATTCGTACTAAAAACAGACATTTTTAAGATGTGGTGCCTATAATATTGACAAGGGACCACACTGTTGCTCCTTCATGGGGGTGAGTACCTTAATGAAACCATTTACCTTCTAGTAACATCATTGGCTTTCCAAACAAGGTGAGAATGCAAGTGGAGGACTTCGGTCTGCACCCTTTACAGAACAGCACAATGTTACTGACTGATCCATTTCCACCAGCATAATCGGGTGTCTTAAAAATAAATGCTGACCCATGGCTGAAACCTGTCACTTTCCACAGCAGCACTCAACAAGAACTGGGACAATTGAAGAGCAAGTTTTTATGGGGACCCTGTTGCTGCTTTAGATTCTGATGTAATTGAAGAGGAAAGGAGACCCTTCAATGAATCCCAGCAAAATCACTAATCTTCTATCTGCATGAAAAAAGCCAGGGAGTGAACACAATATCTTACAGAGTGAAGAAGGCCACAAGAACAAGAGAGGGTGATTGATTAATTTATTATTTTTTTTTAAAACTTGGAAATTCATAAACTAAAATAATCACATTCTCCTTCCCCATCTCTGGGTAGTGCCATCATTTGAATAAGCAATGCTCGAATAACAGAATAGAACCCTTATCATGGGGATGCCCTTGTACAACAGAAGTACAGAGGGCTTACAGAGTAAGTAGACTGGCTCAAACTAACAATCACCTTTGCTTTGTTTTAGCAGTTTGCTTACAAGTGAATGGGCTTCTAGGGCTAAGTTATTAGTTTTCAATTCCTTGTAATTTGATACCAAAACATATCAAAAATAATAAGCTAAAACAATATTCAAACCCATATTTTATTGGCTTTATTACACACTTCAATATTTACAAAGTTAAAGTTTAACTGAAAAGTCTCTATTGTATTAAAAAAAATAACTACAGCCCAAATTAAAGTGCCCTGGGGCAAATACATATCAATCAACTAAGAATCAGTGACTGCATCAGGAACCAGGCAGTACTCTGTGTTACAACAAAGCAGTTTATTTGTGATCAGTGTTTGAGACTCTATACATCCTTCACAAATTTAATTTTACATAATCTGATACGTCTCTTAAAACTTAAACTTTGAACTGCTAGAGTTTTATTTCCCTATAACAGAAGGGCTGGTATAAGTTATTTTCCAGAAATGAGGTACCGTTTTCACAGAACTGGTTTCTTTTTTTTCTTTTTTTTCAAGTTTTAGAGAACTAAATTTGCATTTGTTAAAATCAAAAAGTAGGAAAGATGTTCTTTACAAATAATTTTGATCAAGTATGTGTTCAAAGAAAGCAGGATAAAAAGGTTTTTTCTCTAACATTCTGTATTGTACTGTATTGTTGTTCAATAGGAATTAGCTTCTGTCATTTGCTAAAAGAATGAGTAGTGGGGAACAGGATATGTTGGAAATTTCATAACGGGCAACAGAACCATTCTCTTGGGTAAACCTACAGAGGAAAGAAACGGAGAGGACTCCAAATAAGTTTAATACTCCAATAAAAATTTCAGGTAAAAAAATATCTTACAGTAATTATCATTAACCTTTTCCAGATTAGTCAGTCAACATTATACCATTTTGCAAGAGGCCTGCAAATTGCTCACAGATCTATTTTGAAATTGCTCTTAATATTCTGATAAATAATATTTTCCACTCAAAATCAGGATGGCTACATCTAGGAGGCAATTTCATTGAGTGAGCTGCCATGAATTCTAAAAACCAAAATCAATCCTGTTGACTAATGTTCTAAATTAACTGTAGAAATCTATATTAGTTCTTAATTTGGCATATCACATATTACAAGAGAAACAGGAGTTATCAAGATTCAAAGCACAGTTTTCTGTGCAGACCTCAGCTCCAACTGGAGCCATGACCAGGTGTTTAACTTCTTAATGGCTATTGCCAATATTGGCGTGGCAAATCTGGAAAGATTAATCACTTTCTGAATTTGTAATTAATACGTTCTTGTGGCCTCACAAACTTCTGCATACTCAAGCATGATTTGAAATCTGCTTCTATTAACTATTCTAGTATTTAACCTATGGAGAAATCACAAAGCAGCAACAGCAGGTATTCAAGAGCACCAGATGATCAGAGGGAAATTACCCCACATGCAACAGCTTTACAAAGGCCAAAAGACATATTTACCTTACAGCCAAAATAAAGCATTGTTTTAGTAGGTTTGCATCACAGTAACATTTAAAAACCAAATCTTTTATGTGAAAAATGGGGGCATCAAATTTTACCAGCTTTGGAAGTCAGTTATATGGCACATGGAAGAGAGGAGCTTTCTTATGTGGGAGCTCAGAGGCCACAAGGGTGAAAGGATAATGTTAAAGAAGGAAAGGGAGGAACAAGAGAGGAAAAAAAAGACCGAGGAAAAACATGAATGTTATTTAGAATCTAGATATAAAAGTGTTTTTAAAGGAAAAATCAAGCTCCAGCAAACCTTTACTGAAGAATCTGAAACTTAGTGTATGTCTAAAGAAAGAGAGACTTAAAAACCTGCCCAGGTGGCAGACGCTTTGGCACTTACATAAGACAAAGTACAGTGAGTCTAGTAAGCCAAAATGTATTTGGACAAACTGACCAGACCTAAGTCACAGAAAGGAAGAGGTGGTCAAGATACCCAGAAGCCAGCTGAATAGTTAAAAGCAAATGGCCAAACCCAAAGGAACTAGAGAGTTTGAATAAAAAAGGAAATCTGGGCAAGCTTATTATTACATTAGTCACCAATTCCTAGTTACCCCATATGGCTCCCGCTCAAAATATGGGGAAGCCTTGACCACACCTGAATGTGCCAGAGGATGTAAAGGATATAGCTCCAGGCTCTGCACTTTGCTTAAAAGAAAATCTGCTCCAAATGTTTGACCCTTGTAGCTTCACATCTTTCTAGGATATAAACTATTTTAATGGGCAAAGTGGTCAAACTATTCACTTTCTACTTATGTCCACAGTTACGAAATCAGAGGCAGCTTCAGTTTAGCAGTGTTTCAGGAACACAATTTTCATCCAAACAAAAATGGCAAAGCAGATGTGTGAAGAGAAAAAGCACAATGTGAAGGCAGAGGACTCATGTAGAGGACTAATGCCAAAACTGGCAATAGAGGAAGGGCCTTTCCCTTCTGTGTGCATGCACACCCAGCCTAGGGCATGCTGACACACACACTCTTGCACACACACTCTCTCATGCTCTCTTCTTTCAACGACACATCCTGCAGATGGCTGATTCTGTAACATGTAGCAACTGAGTAGAAAAAAATGTCTAAGAGCATATCACTGACTCCAAACCTATTGCCTCCATTGCCACATAAACCTCATTCAAAAGTTATCCAAAGGGCCACTGGGATTCATTTATGCATTTGCTTTTATTTTTTATTTTGGAGGGGAGAAGAGAAACACCTATGATATTCTAACATGTACTACAGACTTCCTGCAGTGAGCACTTAAGACTGCGCTGGTGAAACCCTCTATCACTTCCTCTGTAGGACCAATGATACCCATTTACTTCAACCCAGAAGAAAAGTTATGGAAAAGAATGAAGGTACAAATTTGAAGTGAGCAGTTCCTACTCTTGACTTAAATTACCCACAATTCACACGGTTCCAAACCAGAAACTTAAGTGTAGCGTTATAACTGGTAAGAAGCCAAGCTAGCAACTGGGTATGGCCCTTCAGTAGCCTTTGAATGGAGTATCAGTTGGCTGTAAGAAGAACTACTTAAAATATTTAATTTCAATATGGTCAGAAACAGGCAATTAGAACAAGCAGTCCTTCAATCAGGCAAAGCAGAGAGAAGAGCAACTCCAACCAAACCAAGAACCACAAGGTTGTGGCATTTTCAAAGAGAATTTAAGTTGGGTCACTAGAATGAATAAGTCTGAGATCCTCTGATTCATTTACAAAAACCCTAGATACAAACTGTGCTTTGGATTGCTGTGACAGAATCGCTAAGAGGAGACATCAGTAAGATGGTGTACATACCATAGGCAGGGGCAGCTGTGCTGTAACCATATGGTGTTCCATACCCTAGTGCAAAGAAGAAGAAGGTAGATCAGTCCAAGACCCAGGGCAATCATCACTGGTCCAATTCACAAGCACCACCTGGTCGGCATCCTGGGCCCTGAGGACTTCTTCCAGGTGCTAGATGAATGAGAACCACTGACAGAGTAGTGGTCCTAGTCTAGCCACTCACTGTGTGCCTGTTTAAGATGTGGAAGCTCCTAACCATGGCCTACAAGGCTCTCCTAGATACATCAGACTATTCTTCATCTCTTTCTCGCTGCACTTACCCACACTCTATTATAACTATCAATTCCTTGTCTGTGTTTCCCACTAGAGTGGCAGAGACCTGGTCAACCTTATCCGTTGTTGCAACATCTGAACCTAGCAGAATGCATGAAATAAAATAGCCACTCACTAAATATAATTTGTTGAACAAAAGAATGTTTAAAACCACTCCAGCTACCAATTTCTCAAAGTTGGCAAACAGAACTTTCCAAGTCTTGTCAGAAAGTAGTGAGAGAGCAGGCTGAGGTCTCAATGGCCATTAAAAAGGGCACATGAGTCAGGTTGTGAGCCCAAGAGCAAGGTCTATGACTTGCTGATATTTCAATTTCCAGCCCAAGTACAGGGTCTCTCTGTAAATGCTTCTGGTGCCTATAAAAAAGGCTCATATTATTAAGTAAAAGCTAGTACAAAGAAGTTTTTATACCATATTAGTTTGGGCACTAATTTCTGATATGTCCTTAGATAATTAATTTGAGTCACCATTTTCTCATCTGTGAAGTTGGAAACCACCCAGGCTACTTTATAATGTCACTGTAGGGATTAGAAATATTATCTATATTAACAGAAGCTGCAATCTTTACTTTTAGTAAAACAGCTTAGAAATAGGTAATATGTAAATAAAAATCACTTGGGGCCAGGTGTGGTGGCTCACGCCTATAATCCCAGCAATTTGGAAGGCTGTGGCGGGAGGACTGCTTGAGCCCAGGAGTTAAGAGACCAGCCCGGGCAATATAGTGAGACCCCATCTCTACAAAAAAAAAAAAAATTAGCTGGGCACGGTGGTGGTGCATGCCTGTAGTCCCAGCTACTTAGGAGGCTGAGGTGGGAGGATCACTTGAGTCCAGGAGGTGGAGGCTGCAGTGAGCCATGATCACACCACTGCACTCCAGGCTGGGCAACAGAGAGAGACCATGTCTCAATAATAATAATAATCACTTTTCATTTATAAATGAAAAAAATTTTTAATGTAGAAAAAGGGCACAAAATCGCCATGGCAACTTTACACAGTACCCAAAACAAATTGAGCTTTTTCACATTACAACTCCATTTTTTGTCACCATTTCTGCTGTTCAGAATGATTTTGTTCCCTCCTTCTCTAGATGACCAAATGCAACTCACCCTTGAGACCAGGATCAAATATCACCTCCTCTAGGAAGTCTCCCAGGCTTTGCTGTTCTCTCTTTTGCCCAAACCATATTACACTTGCATCCTATTGCATTGTGTTTATTCAATTATCTGGTCCTATCCCAAGCAGGGGCAGAGGCTACATCTTCTTTGAATGCCCAGTTCTAAATCTCCTGTTTGAGACACTGGATTCAAATGTAAGCTGAAGAAGTAAACTGCTTTTAGGAACCAACTGAAACAGTTCTGAGGGATGAAAAATTTTTACTTTTTAATCTATAGCTAAGTCATATAACTCAGTCTGGGTGTTCACTAAGTCATATTCAAGAGGATACAATGTAGCTGAAATAAGCAGTAGGAACAGGAGACAGATCAGAAGCCAATAAATTAATGCTTTAAAAAGGGTGGCTATCAAATTTATTCCAGAAAACAGAAGCTGTTTGCCTAAGGCTGAAGTTCTAGGGATTATACCACAACCACCTTAGGAGAACTGGGACTGTAAGTACTAACCAGGTCATAAATCAGGCCATTTGAGTTCTACATCTGACTTCACCTTTTAGTAGCAAGTTATCTTTTTTTTTTTTGGAGACGGAGTTTCACTCATGTTACCCAGGCTGGAGTGCAATGGCGCGATCTCGGCTCACCGCAACCTCCGCCTCCTGGGTTCAGGCAATTCTCCTGCCTCAGCCTCCTGAGTAGCTGGGATTACAGGCACGCACCACCATGCCCAGCTAATTTATATATATAAGCAAGTTATCTTTTTTTTTTTTGGAGACGGAGTTTCACTCATGTTACCCAGGCTGGAGTGCAATGGCGCGATCTCGGCTCACCGCAACCTCCGCCTCCTGGGTTCAGGCAATTCTCCTGCCTCAGCCTCCTGAGTAGCTGGGATTACAGGCACGCACCACCATGCCCAGCTAATTTTTTGTATTTTTAGTAAAGACGGGGTTTCACTATGTTGACCAGGATGGTCTCGATCTCTTGACCTCATGATCCACCCGCCTCGGCCTCCCAAAGTGCTGGGATTACAGGCTTGAGCCACCGCGCCCGGCCTTAGTAGCAAGTTATCTATAAATCGCACCTGTTATTTAACCTCTCTAAGCTTCAGCATCTACGTACAGTAACTGAGTTGCCAGAGGAATTTAATTAAATAATACATGTCAATATACTGACAATAGTCCCTGCTACACAGAACGTACTCTGCAAATGGTATATAACCTATTTATAATCTGAAATGACCTAATCTGAATCTTCTTAGGCCATAAAATAACTTCATTTTTAAAGAATTCAGGAGACAGGCCTTTCAGAGAGGTCAATGCAATGACACAAGAGAGGAGTCACTATAGAGAAAAGCTTGGCAACCAGCAGCCATAAATGGTTCCTTCCATGATTACTGCCACTGGACCATAGCCACTTACCACTCTAACAGGCGATAAATGGTCCACAGCGACAAGAGATGTGACCAGATTAAGCCCCAATGGAACACATCATCAAAGATAAGAAAGACGGTTCATCACAATAACCTGCTTATTATTGTGAATGAAAGCTTTCCCCTTCCAATAATACAGTGAATAAGGTTAAAAATATTAAGTTTCAGTAGAAATAGTGAGACATATTGAAGACTGCCTTAATTTTAGACACAAACTATATCACACCATAAGAAATTCATAATCTTTTCCTTTTTCCCCCAAAAGGAAAAATCCTAGGAGTTAAGATATCCTTGAAACATCACTCTTCTTTCTATATATTAAATACGTCAATTTGGTCTCTTAATATTCTTCCCATCTATTCTCTTGTCTCCCCCTATCTACTTCCCTGCCTCCAGCAGCAATACTATCAATGTCTCTTGCCTGCGTTAGTGGTCTTCAGTAGCCTTTTTTTAACCAAGGCATAATAGATGTACATAGTCCCAGGGTTTGTGTGATAATTTAATGTACCCATGTAATTTATACGGATCAAATCAGTGAAACTAGGACACCCATCATTTTAAGTATTTGTCCTTCCTTTATTCTAGAACCATTTGAATTCTTCTCTTCTAGCTAGTTTGAAATGTACAATACATTACTGAAAGCTATATGCCTTCTAACTGATCTTGTCATACCCACACCTATCCCTGCAATCTGTTCTTCACACTATAGAGAGACCAACTTTCACAAATAAAGTTTGATCTTGTCACTGTTCTCCTTAGAACCCATCAAGACCTAACACTGCACTTAGGGTTATAAGACCAAAATCCAAACAATGGCCTCCAGGTCTGAGACTGAGTCATCCAGCTTTAATTCTCATCATTCCCCAGTTTCTCCACTTCTGCCACTCAATGCTCTCCACACTCCACATATTTTGGACTTGTGCTTTTTCAGTTGAGCCAAATTCCCCAACAACAGCAACACAGGGTCTCTGCATATGCTGTTCCTTCTGTGTGCAGCACTCTCCCATCCCAGTTTCTTTGAGTTACCTCCTATTCATTCTCCAAAGCTCAATTCAAATGTCACTTCTGGGAAGTCTCCAGGGACACACTAAACTAGACCAGGTTGCTGTTACATGCTCTAATAGCAGCATGTCCTTCTTTTTCATTGCACTTATCTCAGTTTATCATTGTTATTATTTGATTAATCTATATCTCACCCTTCAGACTATAAGCTGCATGAGAACAAAATCCATGTCTGGTGTGTGCGAAAGCAGGCATACTCCTTGAGCAATTTACCTACTAGATTAGCTTCTAGAAGAATCATTCCAAAGCCACATCATAAAATTTCCCAAATGGCCTTGTCTAATTCTTTCTTAGAGGAAAGCACAAAGTGAAACCTTAGGGATGTTACCTAAAAAATAACGACTGGGTAAGACCCAATCTTCATGACAGTTCCATCTTGATCAATATTTCCAAGTGGTTTACTTGTCCAGTTAAAAGTACTATACTTTCAGTATTGTCAAGAACTTGATTTTTAACAAGACAGCTGGATAAGCTACTGTTAAAATGACCTAAGAATTAGAATGAACGGCAGAGAGAAGGCATTCCCCCAAATCTTCTTGAAGAATGCAAACACCTACATTCAAATCCTTGCTCTGCTGTTTAGTGGTTGCTTCACCCTGAGCTAGTTCCTTCCTTGGAAAATAATTCCTACCTGATCAAACACTGTGAAGATCAAAAACAATTAAATAAAATTATTTACATGAAAATATTTAGTATATATAGTAAGCTCTGAATAAGTTTCTTTTTCTTTTTTCCCCTTCTGTACTTCTTTAGCCTTTGATGGTTCTCAAATGTTAAGTTTAACAAACACTCATAATGCCAGGCTTCGCCCTAATTAAGTAATCTCTTAGCAGCTTTTCTCTCCTGTTATACCCAACCTGTGATCTATGTCCTCAATGAATACACCCTGCTCAGACATCCAAATTCTCAATCTATGCAACATCCTTTAATTCCCTGTCAAAATACAGTCCTACAACCAAATACAATACTGCTCATTTGTCATCTCCCTCCAGGAAGCCTCTACTCACTCAGCAGATTCCAGGAGAACACCTATGACATTCCGTAAATTCTCTGCTTTTAAATTTCTGTGTACACTCATGCCTGTGTTTTATTTCCAAAAACCCTGTACAACCTTAGAAAACGAAGGAGATGCTATTCTATGAATTTTGGTCCAGAAAAGGCAGCCAATCTCTTGCAGTTTGTACTATACCTGGAGCTATGTAGCCAGGAGCAGCTGTCGCCCCAACAAAAGCTCCCCTTGTTAGAGTTCCTCTTCCTCTGCCCCGAACAGCTTGGACTGCTGCAGACACAGCTGTATTCACAACACCCTTTGCCTGTTAAAATAACACATTTTCATTACTGAAAGAAATAAGAACCAGCTCATTTCTTCTTTCTATCATCTCTTCAATGCACAACTACTATGAGAAACTGTGAGCACATGGCTGAGATCATGAGCTATCTGTGATCTTGAACCTTCAATTTATCATCTGAAAAACAAAAATGATACCTACCTTACAGAGATGTTCAGAGAATATGCAAAGAGCTTTTTACTTGAGGGTTATCCAGAAAGGTTAATTTTCTACACCAAATTTCAGTAATCAATTTATATCCAAAGTCATTTTTAGGCCTTACTAAAGTAATAATAGGCACATGATACCTAGGTTCCAAATCCACTGAATTATCTCCCGACAGGCAGAAAACATCCCAGCAACTAACTACATAGAATTAGCTGTGAATCTGAGTGGGGCTAGTTGGGGGAAAATATACAGGGCTAAGACAGGAGGATCAAAAATGAGGATGCCAGTTCCTGCTCTAAGTAACTGTAACCTCAGGAAGGTAGCATGATTTATTTGAGCCTGATTCCTCTGCTGTTTGTGTATGTATGTATCCATAAATTTCTTTTTTTTTTTTGAGATGGATACTTGCTCTGTTGCCCAGGCTGGAGTGCAATGGCGCAATCTCAACTCACTGTAAACTCCACTTCCTAGATTCAAGCAATTCTCCTGCCTCAGTCTCCTAAGTAGAAGGGATTACCAGTGCCCACCACCATGCCTGGCTAATTTTTGTATTTTTAGTAGAGATGGGGTTTTACCATGTTGGCCAGGCTGGTCTTGAACTCCCGACCTCAAATGATCCACCCACCTCAGCTTCCCAAAGTGCTAGGATTACAGGTGTGAGCTGCCAAGTCCAGCCCGTTATTAAATACCACTTTGAAAGCCACTACTTGGCCAGACATAGTGGCTCACGCCTGTAATCCCAGCACTTTGGGAGGCTGAGGGGGGCAGATCACCTAAGGTCAGGAGTTTGAGACCAGCGTGGCCAACATGGCAAAACCCGGTCTCTACTAAAAATACAAAAATTAGCCATGCATGGTGGTGTACGCTTGTAATCCCAACCACTGTGAGGAGGCTGAGGCAGGAGAATCACTTGAACCCAGAAGGCAGAGGTTGCACTGAGCCGAGATCACGCCACTGCACTCCAGCCTGGGCAACAAAGTGAGACTCTCCAAAAAAAAAAAAAAACAATCAAAAAAAAAAAAAAAAAAAAAAAAAAAAAAGCCCCTTCTTGCTCTAAAATGCCACAGAAATCTCCCCGCTAATTATAAAATGTGGAAAATGATACCCACTTTGTTTTCTTTACATTAGAGTAGAAAGAACAACCGAGAGTTATCAAATAAGAATGATACCCACTTTGTTTTCCTTATTTTAGAGTAGAAGAAAACAACTGAGAGAACAGATACGAAATCATTCTAAAAGTACAACAGATAATACCAGGAGTAAGACTAAACAGGACTATTGAAAAAATCCTTTCCCAAACTAAAATTTTAAGAAAATCAAAAGGTGTCTAGTTTCAAACTGAATATTATACTTATAGAAATGCAACAAAAACTCAGGCTAGAAACAATTAAGATTCCCCACTATAACCAAGGTGCAAGGAATGGTATAGAACCTCAAAGCATACTGTATGATGAGGTCAACAGTGTCTACGGAGCTGAAAGAGTCAGAATACACACACATTTATCTCCTTTTGAAAAGGCATCATCCTTTATTCTTTCCAGGATAACCTCTATCTCTAGTATCAATGGGCAGGAGACAGTTTTAAGGTCCAATGTGTCATGCACAGGGACTGACTTTTTTGTTTTTGTCTGAAATAAACCAACCCACATATCCAAAACAGACTGCTTCTTGGCTGTCAAGCACACATTGAACACATGAGTTTTATAGATTCTAGTATGGAAAATTTCTAAAAATGAGTGAACTTCATGTAGACATCTTTCTTTTTTTTTAACATGACTTGGTCAAAAGTAGTCAGGAAGCAACAATCTGGCAGTAGCAGAGTGATTCCACATAAATCTAGCTCATGTCTATTAGAAACAAACTTAACTGCCTAATAAATATTTGTACATGGGCTTTTTAAACACTAAAATTAACTGACCAAATATAAGGTGTAATATGGGGGAGGGGTATCCACCATAAAACAGGGTAATAATCATCTTTCAGCTAATTTAGAACATACTTTGTTCTGTATTTACCAGAAGATTTTAGAAAAGAAAATCTACTTGTTCTCAACATATATAGTTTAAAGGCTTTTAAAATTTTTTCATCTCAGTACAAGTCAATTTTCTCTATCTTTTGGATCCTAGAATTTAATCAGTGTTTATTATAGCAAATACAAGAAATTTAAAAGAATACAAAACAAATTTCAAGACTGATACAATATGCAATAGTAAAATGTCCATAGCCTTTGAAAGAAGAACCTGGTTCTAGAAGGAACCCCTACCATCAATTAGCTATGTTACCACAGGCAAGTATTTCAATTTCTTTGGGTCTTGTTTCCTTACCTGTAAAATAAGATTAATTCTACCCTCCTACAAAGGACTCAGCATATATAAAGGAATCTAAATATAATGTTTAATGTAGAATTAAAGAATCTAAGCTTCCTTTTATTAGTTTAAGCATTTTTAATGTGTTTCTATCACATAATATATTCAGATGTTATGTTATTATACCAGTACTCTCCATGAGGCACAATGTGTCTTATATTTACTTATGTAACTCTTTCTCCCTCACTATCAGGCATATGGTGTTTGCTTTTTGAATGCATAAATGAATAGATGGAAGAATTTCATATCCACAAGCATGTAATTAGGGGGCCATCTTTTCTAATACCTTGCTAAGATCCTGGACATTCAGTAACACTGACATTCCCAACGTCAGTAATGAAGAGAAGCAATACAGCGCCAAATTTTATGCGGTCTGCAAAGGAAACCCAAAATAATACAAAACGACAAAACTGCAAAGGAACTGAAAGAGTACCTGCAGACTCATGAAAGCAAAGCCCCAGGTACTCTTGGCAGCTTCCCTAAACTAAACTGCTTATACCTCATTAAGGTCCAAATCACCTCAAAACTTTACCTCATCAAGAATGACCTCAACCCTCCAAATAATGCAAATAGCCTCATATATATTTACACATATATACACACACATATATGCGTATATATACACACATATATACGTATACATACACGCACGCGCACACACACACACACACACACACACACACACACACACACACACAATTTGCTTAGAAAGACCATAAAACAGGTAACCACTAATCAGATTTATATTATTCATGACCTAACCCAAAGCAAAGGTTGCCAAGACCAAGGAAAAGAAACAACTTCAGAAAAAGCTAAAATGGCACGTGGACAGGAAAGAAAATTTAATTTCTGTAACATTTTTCACAGGTTCTGCAAAGGTTTAATGTTAACTCATACCTGAGGGATAATCTTCTTTTTCTTGTTATTTGCTGCATTAGGTCCAGAAAACAGCTTCTCCAAGGCAGCTAAAGCTGCACTCGCCTTGGCCACTTTCTTATTTGGACCTGCGCCTCTGAATTTCTGTCCATCTACTTCTACCTAAAATCAAGAATAACCTTGCAATTATCCCATGCAATTCCTCTATTCCTTTTAATTTAAAGATATTATGACACAGAAAACACCGAGAATCAAATAGTGCCACAAGAACTGACTCAGTCTAAAACTTTTTAAAATATAAGTTCAGGATATCCTATGTCTGAGAAGAAAGATAAGGCTGGCTTGTGTCTGGGTACACACCTCCATTACAAAGCGCTTGTCATGGCTTCCACCTGTTTCTGAGATGAGTTCATACTTGAGACCTCTTCTTTTTTCATTGAGCTCCATTACAGGGTTTTTGCCACTTGCTGTAAGAATAGGGCCCTGAGTTCTTACCTGTAAGAGAAAGGGAATCTGAAGGTTCAATCAAGTAAGATTTTAGAATATTACATTTCTTATTAATACAATTATGCTAAGAAGGAGGCTCAAAAATTCTACTTTAAAGAATAAGTCACCTCTGTACACAAATAGCAAAATATCATTAAAGCTGTAAAAACTCTACAAGCAGTAAACACTGCGGTCATCTCTTCAAACCACTATTCAAGATCAATGCAGCCTCACCATTATGGGCCACTCCAGGCTCTGCTCTGTAGTGTTCATGATCTAAGAATAACACTCTAAATTACTAACAAAGTTTGGATTCACATGATGCCTGAGGGTTCATCATTTTTCCTCTTTAGGATTAGGAAGAACTAACTCTCAATTTGGGATGTGAGAGGGGGAAATGTTCCTATACACGTCTCAGTCACTCTGAACAGATTTAAGGAGACCTAAGGCTATAGACTATAGATTCTGAAAATTTAAAATAACACTAAAAGCAGTCACTCCCTGCCCTCAAAGAGCTAGAGTGTAGTGGGAGGGACAGATAGCATTACTGCAAAATAATGTATGTTAGAGAGCAGATATATGCTATGGAAACACAGTAAAAAGGATCAGTGTCTAGGGCAATCAGGATAGTTTTCCTAGGAGTGACATGTAAGCCTGACCTTAAAGGGTTAAGTACCAGACCACCATCATGGGGAGGCAAGGGAGAAGGCCTTCTGGACAGAGCAGCAGCAATATAAAGGCCCAAGAGAGGAAAAGAACATTTAGGGAATGGCAAGAAGTTCAGTCTGGCGTATAAGAAAGTGAGGAGAGGAAGCTAGTGTATTAGGATCTAATTAGAAACACCACTAATGGGGCCAAATCCACACAGGACTTTGTACACCAAGCAGACAAGCTTTGACTTAATTAGGGACAGTCAAGAGCCACTGGATGAGTTAAACATGAAAACCATCATGACTAGGCGTGTTATAGAAAAACCACTCTAACAGTGGTAGAAATAACTGACTTGAGGAAGGATAAGAATAGAAGTAGTGAAGTAATTAATATAAGAGTGTGAAGGTGCAAATGAAAAGAGAGGCTAGCATCAAAAGGAAACAAATCCACAAAATACTAAAACTATAATTTTGAGAAAGAAGAAACCAAAAGATAGAGCACTTTTTGAGACCAGAGATCATGTTTGTAATTCCACCACAGTAATTGCTTAAGAAATGCCGAACACACAAAATGAATGCCCAAAAGTGCTAAAAAACGTTCTTTTTTTTTGGAAACGGAAGCTTGCTCTGTCGCCCAAGCTGGAGTGCAATGGTGCAATCTCGGCTCATTGCAACCTCCACCTCCCAGGTTCAAGCAATTCTCCGGCCTCAGCCTCCTGAGTAGCTGAGATTACAGGCACCCGCCACCATGCCCAGCTAATGTTTATATTTTTAGTAAAAACAGGGTTTTGTCATGTTGACCAGGCTGCTCTCAAACCCCTGACCTCAAGTGATCCACCTGCCTCGGCCTCCCAGTGTTGGGATTACAGGTGTGAGTCACCACAGCCGGCCCAAAGTATTAACTATTACGTATATAAAACTAATGAAAATCAGGATTCTCTTGGCAAAGTACTCTGTGCTGACTGGATACGCAGTTGATGTTTCAGATGTGAAACATCAAAGGACAATTTTTAAGGACAAGTTTAAAAACATTCCTGGATCTTTGCAGTAAATATCTCTTCTTCGTGAGTTTTTATAATCTGCATTTTTTAAATTTCAAGGCAAATTTCTAGTCACTGTCATTAAAAGATGATGACTTTGGAAACTAGGTCTATAGTAACCATTCTATGCTTTCCAAACCTGAAATCATGTCTACAAAAATGAGTCGAGACATAAAAATATCTGAATTTTAATAAATTACTATTATTTTAAATGAAGAAATAAATAAGGGCTTTCTTTTTTCTCCCTGCTTCCCCCATTACTACAATGTACAGAAACAATGTATAGATGTAGTCACTATCAAAACTTTGTGTGTCAGTGTGGCTGCTACTAGTGCAGCCCACACTGCTCTCTCCCTTCCTAATTATCTTTGTACTTAATGGTTTGGACCTCATAATTAATAAGCCCCTTTTTTCTTTTAGTATATGTATATAAACATTGTCAGCAAAACAACTCTTGACCTGTGACTACCACCTGTGAATGACCAGTACCTCTCAACCAGCCATGACATCATCTGTCCTCCACAGCATCACACCAAGTGCCAAGGGAGCTTTCTCAGGCTTCAGCCCCAACAATCCTGTCCATGCTGGCCCACTTGGCACTTCTTCAACATTTACTTTCACAACTTGAAGTCATCACACCTCCTCTTCCTTCAGTCTAGAACGCTTTCTCTTCCACACATGGCAAAGCTCATCATCTGAAGCCTTGCTCACAGTGGACTCCATTTGATTCTACATGATTGTGTATGTGTAAGAGTCTCACAACCCTTTCATCCTTCAAGATTTGACATTATTATGTTCATTTTGCCATCACAGTGCTTATCATATTATATTATCATAAACATGTATTTTTGCCCTGTTAGCCTGGGAGCAGCTCCAGGTTCTGCACAAATTTCTGCAACACCTGGCATTAAGCAGGTATTAAAAGGGATTTATGGACTAAAAAAAATTCATTTATTAATTAAGTCCTTAATAAATACTTATTTGTACAAATGACAAAGTAAACCTTTTTTTAATGTAAGCTCTTGTTGTTCCTTTAAAGCTAATTTCTTTACATAGAATGCAGTAAACATGGAAACATGGGTTCCATGAACTCCCCAATGTATTGTGTATACTCAGTACTTGGATTTCATCCCATTCTATTATCTGTGATAAGTTAACAGGTCAGGACTTAATTAGAGTCTGAGGTACATACTGGGTCAGGGTATGCTTCCTTCAGGACTGGACCAACTAAACGATGACCCAGTGCCCCCCACAGCTTAGCCCAAACTTCAAAATAATCCCAAAGTTCCTCCACTAGATCTTATAGTTTTCCAGCCATAAGTTATAACAATGTTGATAGTCTTGTTGTATTATGAAATACTGGAAGCAGCTTCCATGGCCAGCAATCAAGAAATACCAGTTAAATTAGGATATATTCATGTGTGGCACAGTTTACAGATATTTTTAAAGTGAAAAAAATCAAGATGTAAAACTGCATGAAAATATGACTGCCTTCACAGAGATTCATGAAAAAAACTGGATGGAAATAAACCAAAATAATAATAATGTCTGCCTCTGTAATGTACAGTTTTATATATGCTTTTGATTCTTATTTATACTTTCCCACATCTCTCAAATTTTCTACAATGCACATATATATTACTTTTTTTCTGAGAAAAAAATAAGTATACCTCTAAGGTACTGGAGGTTTCAGTTGTAGAATTTCCAGTATTATTGCTTGAGTTTGAAGACACTGTTTCATTTTTACTTTCATTATCTGATTTTTCATCGGAACTCATACATTCAATATCTGCATCAAAGCCTGTTGGATATCCCATTGCCTGTAATACCTGTTCAAATTACATTAAGATGTAGTTTTATTCAGACATGAGAAACCAGAGAAAAGACAAAATATTGAGAACAAAAGTTTCAAATTCATAGCATGTGAACCATAAAACACCTTGCAGGAAGAGCAAGATGGTACTAAATCTGTAAGTTCTTTGTTAAATAGGGTATATACCTACCAGGGTAACACCATGGAAAAATGGGAAAACCTCCTCAGGGTAATTGAGTTTAAACATGGATAACAAATATAAACCTGACACTACTCCTAGTTCATTTAATTTGGAGGTGAGAGGTAGAGAAAGTAACAGCATAGGTAGGTTCAAACCAATAGGATAAGGACAGAAGTAGCATACTGTAAAAAGTACACTGGTCTAGAAAGGAAAAAATCTGAGAGTCTAATCCTGTATTTCTCCTCTGGCCCTCAACTTTCCAATCCATAAAGCACAAAAACTGCATGGGTTTACTTCTAAGTTCTATGACTCAATCCATTGGAGAAATTGCCCCAGAAACGCAATCAAGAAATTTTATGCCTTTGAACGAACTTGCCTGTCAATTACAAAATAATATCTAAAACTTTCTCCTTTGCTTCCAATGTAAAATACAATCAAAACTTAAAAGATTCAGTCTCGGCCAGATGCAGTGGCTCACACCTGTAATCCCAGCACTTTGGGAGGCCAAGGTGGGTGGATCACTTGAGGTCAGAAGTTAGGGAACAGCCTGGCCAATATGGTAAAACCCAGTCTCTGCTAAAGATACAAAAAGTAGCTGGGTGTGATGGCACACACCCGTAATCCCAGCTACCTGGGATGCTGAGGCAGGAGAATCACTTGCATCTGGGAGGCAGAGATTGCAGCGAACTGAGATTGCACCACTGCACACCAGCCTGGGCAACAGAGTAAGACTCAGTCTCAAAAAAAGAAAAAAAAAAAAAAAAAATGCAGTCTCTAGGTTTATTCTCTATACTAAGTAAGCCAGGAACAATTTCAGTCTTGTATTTCCATCCCTCTCTCTCAAGGACTGATTATGGCTACCTCCAATGTTAAACTTCTTACACTTCCTATACTTTCATTCGATGTGTAGGATTTTTCTTACTTTTTTGAAATAAAGCTTTCAGAACAATGTGTATGTGTTTGTGTGTGACTGTGCACAGGCATGCTCGCACACCTCCGCACACGTGTGTGCCTTTTAACATCTTCCTGATTATACTGCTTTTTAGATGTTTACAAGAGAATATGTTCACTTTTTGAAAGCCTCTTTCAAAGGGCGTTGATATAGCTTTGTCACTTACTAATTAAAGGTTTAAATCAAAGGATATAGGGATAGATTCCTAAAGACCTCTGGATTTGTTTCCATTTTTAATTAAGTTGCTGAGATGTGGCGTGGTGGCTCATGCCTGTAATCCAAGCACTATGGAGGCCAAGGCGGGCAGATCACCTGAGGTCGGGAGTTCAAGACCAGCCTGACCAACATGGTGAAACGCCGTCTTTATTTTTTAAATATTAAAAAAATATATTAAAAAAAAAGAAGTTGCTGAGATGTAAAAGCAACATATTTCTTCATAATCACTGTACTGTACATAATAAGTGTAAAATGGTTATGGTGGCTACACAAGTGACAAGCCAGCCTTTATAAACAATCACATCTTGTATAAAGGATTTTGCCAATGTAAGTAAAACTGTTATCCTAAACCAAAAAAATGGATGTACATAGAACTCTGCACCAGGAGAACTTGAAATTAATTCACACAATTCATATGGAGAACTTGGCATTCTTATCATAAATAAATGTCTTGAATTTACTTGGGAGTAAAGCCAAGAACGCTTTTTTTAACATCTTAAGTTCTAAAAGTGCTCAGGTAATACTTTACACAAAGAACATTAACATCATTTGTTTATATCCTTATTAGTATTTTATTTAAAAAAACACCTTTTCCACTGTCTGAGTCATGTAAATATGCTGTCCCTGAGAAATCTCATCTCAGATAAGAGCTATCATTCCAAATTAACACTAGCTAACATAAGCTGTGAGTCAAAAGCCAAACATCACAAATAAGTTTGATTTGTTTATTCCATTAAAACGAAAGACATTCATCTTTTCTCAACATAGACAATAAAAATAGTCTAATATAAATACTTAATATCACCTCTCGCCACCCTTTTCTCACATATCAGATTCACTTATTATTACAGCGATATATTTCAATATGTTTACAAATACTTTATATAAATGGTAGATTATATCTCAGGGAATACAGTGTCCAACACAGTGTAACCAAAAAATTAAATCATTTTTAAGAACTGATATTCTGAGTATTTACTAGCATATGCTAAGAAGTCAAACAAGCAAGGAGTTCTCAAACCTCTGCAACTGATAAAGATTCTCTTCTTAACCAAACTCTAGACAGGATCCTCTGAGCCATGTTTTTACCTAGGCCCCAACCTTGGGCCTTGTCCTTAAAAGCCAAGTTGTATTAAGAATCCTGCTAAATTAGTTCAGCCAGAATCCCACACCTTTAATATCTAATCACCCTTAATCACCCTTGGTATCTGATCAAATCTTCTCATCCCCCATTGAAATGGTTTGTGTCCCCACCCAAACCTCAAATTGTAATCCCCAGTGTTGGAGGTGGGGCCTGGTGGGAGATGACTGGATCATAGGGACAGTTTCTAATGGTTTAGCACCATCCCCTTAGTACTGTCTCATGACAGAGTTCTTACGAGATCTGGTTGTTTAAAAGTATATGGCACCTCCTTGCGCTTTTCTCTTCCTCCTGCTCTGGCCACATAAGAAATGCCTGCTTCCCCTTCCACCATGATTAAGTTTCCTGAAGCCTCCCTAGAAGTCTCTGTGCTTCCTGTACAGCCTGCAGAATCGTAAGCCAATAAAACCTATTTCCTTTATAAATTACCCAGTCTCAGGTATTTCTTTATAACAGTGCAAGAATGGACTAATACATCCATCACTGCCTGGATGGTATCTGATTATCCTAGCCTTCTCTGAGCAAAAATCCTAATAGGTCCATTTAACCAGAAATCCCCCTTCATCCTGATACTTCCTCTTAGTAATTTTCCATCCACTGATCCATCCCTGTTCCTTGGCTACAAATCCTCACTTGTCCATGTTGAACTCGGAATTGAGCCCAGTTCTATACTAAGGTATCTTTCCTCTATTGCAATAACAGTTCCTGAGTACATACTTTTTTTTAACCGTTTAAACTGTCCCACTCTGGTTTTCTTTGACAGAACCAAGTTTGTCTGAAATCCATGTTAATACTAAAAAACTAGTATTCCAAAGAAAAATGAATTTCAAGTATCTAGCAAACAAATACAAACCTAATAAATACATCAATGGAGCTAAAAAAATCACAAGATAACTCATGGAAACAAGGTGACTGGGAAATCATCGTGTGTAACCAGATCCCTTTCTTCCTGGAAGAGGGCTGAGGTTAATAAGAAAGGTTGAGACTGAGAAAGATGATACCCTCAAATACGAGGGGCCAAGAGTGAAAAGACAACACATGGCACTCTATATTATGGCTCTCTAAAGTAAGTAACATTTATGGCTTCTGTATGATAGAGATCTGATTTCATCAGATTCTCAGGAAATCTGATGTCTCTAAGAACCTCTCCAAAGAGCCTTCCCTTCATCTTCATCCCCTTCTAGCTGAATTTTTCCCCACAATGACAAAGATTATTTTCATGTAATATGATTATGACCCTAAAGGTATCCTTTGTGAGGGGCTGCCAGGATAAAGAAGTGGAAGAATAAAGGGAAGACTGGTCACTAATTCTCCATCACTTTAGGGTGCTTGCTGTCCTGCAGCCAGGCCAGGCTCATGTGAAAGGACTGATTTCTTCTTGTTTTCTTTTGATTTGATTCTCTGGTGTGATTTGTCATAATAGGTACAAAACCCTCACCATGCTATTAAGAACTAAAAGAATTTTGACCTACTTTCAAAAGTACGTTAGACGCAAAATTCTTTCTCAAACTCATTTATAAACAGAATGCGTAACATGGAATATAACCTTTATGGCTAACAGTTTGGTAATATATGCCTGGCATGTAATAAGAATTCCAATGCACTTTTAAACAAATTAATGAATCAATAAAATGTGTTTACCTTTTGACCCAATAATCCCATCTCTAGAATATATATCTTAAAGGATCATCAGACAAGTTCAAAAATATGTAAAGCAATAAAATGGAGGCATCTAAATCTAAAATGATTAGTTACATTATGATAATGTAACAGACCATCTGCCAATAATGAAATGTTAGACCATCACTAAAAATAAGAGCAATCTTTGAGTTAGCTATTTAAAAATTCATAATATATTTTTAGATGAAGAGAGTATAGGCCAGGCACAGTGGCTCATGCCTGTAATCCCAGCACTTTGAGAGGCTGAGGTGGGCGGATTACCTGAGGTCAGGAGTTCAAGACCAGCCTGGCCAACATGGTGAAACCCTGTCTCTACTAAAAATGCAAAAATTAGCAGGGCATGGTGGCGTGTGCCTGTAATCCCAGCTACCCAGGAGACTGAGGCAGGAGAACTGCTAGAACCTGAGAGGCGGAAGCTGCAGTGAGCCAAGATCATGCCACTGCACTCCAGGCTGGGCAACAAAGCAAGACTCTGTCTCAAAAGTATGATCCTATTTTAAATATATATATATTTTTACAGACATTATGTAGGTTCACCATTCCTTATCTGAAACCCTTGGTGCCAGGTTGTTTTGAGAATTCATAATTTTTCAATTTTGAGAGCTAATACAATACATATGTCACATATTTTCCAAATTCCCATTGGTTTCTCAGGTGCTATCCCATGTTTATGCAAAATAACATATAAAATAATCACACTGAATAGAATAATAAAGACTAAAACTAGCCCCACATCAATTCAGGTCATGTTTTCCCACCCAGTGAATTTGTATCAAACTTAGGGAAATTTTTTTCATTTGTAATGCTTTCTGAATTTTAGAATCACTGGTTAAAATAAGAAGGCTTGGAAGAATACATACCAAAATGTTAATGGTTATTATTTCTAGGTTTCAGAACTATAAACTTTTCCCCCTCATTTTCTAAACCATTTATAGCAAATACACATTATACATTTATAATAAGATTTACAAAGCCAAAAGTAACTTTTAAAAAACAAGACATAAAATAAAAATTCTGTGCAGACCTTAGGGAGAACAATCTGCCTCAAAATAGAAAGCAAGTTCTGGAATAAAGCTATCAAGTCATAAACCTGAGATGTTAGAGGCCTAGAAAAGACTGCAGGCCACTTGAGACTGACAGCTAGTAACAGGTTTTCAAATCATATAGCTGATAAACCAGATAAAGTAAGCAGAGACTTTCGAACCTTCAAAGCTAGTTTACTCTGATTCTTAATTCATTCTACCTGGATGAATCAAAAGTTTAGTTTATCCCATTTTCAAAAAAGGCAAATCTTAACTCTTCACAAATTTCAGATTTACTAGTTACTGCACATTCCACCCAAAATGTCACTCAAGGTAAATAAAAGTATGAAGGCTATCTACTCACCACACAAGTCACAAGAAGCCATTAACAATTTTATCAGATCCAGTGTCATTCACATTATAACTAACATCTACATTTCTGAAATTTGTCAGGGAGCTTAGCTTAATCCCAAGCTTACAACCTCTCCATGTTTACCAAAAGCTCAGGTGAATAAAAAATAATATTTGGAATTGAAGACAAAAGCATACCCAGTCCAACCAAGTTCCATCATATCATAAAAATATATCACTGCATCAAATGAAAACCAAATCTTGTCACTGCAAAATTTGTCACTCTATTAACTTTCTCAAATTTTACTGAATTGCAATTTGCTATGAGGCCACTAGATTATGTTAAAGGTTATTGTAAGAAACAACCCACAAAATTTATCACTGCATCATAGATGCCTCTAAAGGAGACAACTGATATCCTTAGATTGTGAAGATCTACCCAAGGAGAAATGCCCACCTGATCAAAAACCACAACTGTGACTCTCTAACCAAACTCTCTCTGTTCTTAAGACATAGAGAATGAATTGTATATTTTACAAGCTTTTTGTGTCAGCTGCTACAGAACTTAGCTTAGCTCTAAACTTGTGACTCATTCTCAGTGTATGTGGTTATTAAACTATGTATTTAGTCTTATTCCTGGATTCACTTTTCCCCTCATTGCTGGTTTTCTTTTTCTGCCTCATTTTAAATTCATATTCTTTCATCATACTTTAGATATACCTTTTCTAATGAAGACAGCATAAGTAATATATAGTGTTTGACATTTTTACAGCTTATTGTTTTTCTGCATGTATTGTTCGGATCACTATTTGATGTTTGCATGCTTGTTTGTATATTTGTTGTCTATCTTCCCATCCTATACACGCTAGAATGTAAGCTCCATGAGAACAGCAACTTTCTTTCATTAACTGCTATATCCCCAGTATCTAGGATGGTGTTCACATCTACATTAACAATACATACAAAATGGAATGACCATGAAAACAGACCAATTATATCATATGCCATACTGTTATATAAAAGAACTTTTCTTAAGTGAATCTCATCTTCAGTCTACATGATCTTTAACATTTTTGCATTAGCCTGCAAGAGGTCAAATGTACTTATAGAGAGATCCCATTACCTGGAAATTTTCTACAAACCTACATGCATAATTGGTCCAATCCTGGACACTATTACCTATGGAAATATTCTAAAAATAAAGAGGAAGCGTCACATACAAAGATACTGATCAAATTTATTTATAATAGAAATAATCTGGAATAAGCAAACTATCCAATGATAGGAAAATGTTTAAACAGATAGCAAAGCCATAGCATATTAATCGAACATTCATTACAAACTATGAAGATTTTCATGAGGAAAAACACTCATTAAAAAAAAAAAAAAAAAGGAAATAGAAAATGATTAGAAATAAATCAACATACTATATACAAATACTAATGGTCTTTGCTTCAAAAATATTCAACTGGCATATTTTAATTTATTTACTTGTTTCTGTATTTTCCAAATTCTGTATAATTATTACATATTATTTTGCAACAAAAAAAATTTTGTTATCCAGAAGTGACAAAAGTCTATTTATAATATTATCACTATTAAAACGTTGAAAAAATAATTTATTATAGGAAAAGAAGCATCTTATTTGGAACACGAAATAAAAGAAACATTGCAAAGTAAAACAAATACTGTACCTTCACTGCTACGTGAAGTTTTGCTGTTTTCTTGGATGGTCCTGAGGCTTCATATGTTGTGCCATCCACATCTACAGACATTGTGAAGACTGGGGCATGAACGGGGCCAGACTGAGATAAGAGCTTATACTGAAGCCCAGGCCTGATCTGATTTAGCCTCATTAGTGCATTCATAAGGTCTATTGCTTTACTATCCAGAACTGTTAAAGAAAGAAGAATGAGGTCAGAAATTAACTAGAAAGTCATTTTGCTTTAACCTCTGCATTTTCGGGTTCCTAGTAACTACTGTAAATTTACCAGACTTTTAAAAAATGAGTATTTCAAAACACATAGCTTTACCTCATAATGCTAAAATTATTATGCTAACATCACTGTAAAAATAGTATGCATTACTGTAACTATACATTAATTTTCTCTTGTCAATATTAATGTATCTTAAGCCAAAAAGCTTGGAAACAAAAAAGTTATTCAGTTATCAATTGCTTAGTTAAGATCTAGACTCAAAATAATTCAAATCAATCAAATTCTTCACTTTTTGGCTGAGCATGGTGGCTCATGCCTGTAATCCCAGCACTTGGGAAGGCCAAGGCAGGTAGATTGCTTAAGCTCAGGAGTTCAAGACCAGCCTGGGCAACTTGGCGAAATCCCATCTCTACCAAAAATACAAAAACTTAGCAGGGCATGGTGGCACACACCTGTGATCCCTACTATTTCAGAAGGCTGAGGTTGAAGGATCACCGGAGCCAAGCAGGTGGAGACTGCAGTGAGCTGAGATTATTGTGCCACTGCAGTCCAGTCTGGGTGAGAGTGAGAAACCCGTCTCAAAAAAAAAAAAAAAACCTTCATTTTTAATTTTTCTATCTGAGACTACAAGTCCTCTCTAGTTTGCATCTGTAAGAATACAGGTTTCACACACTTTTCCTTAAGTTTCGCTTCATCTTCTTATTGGGGTCTTTATCATCTCCTAATCCATCTTCAAATGGCCTCTTTAGAGCTGAAGACCCAGCACCTAAAAAAAATTATGAGCAATTCATTATCAGTCAAAACAACAATCCTACTTACTGTACCACAAGTATCTAACATGTTCAGGTCAGAAAATCTTAGGAATTACACCAAGGACCATACAACTTTTTTCACTGATCAGTTAAATTACCATATTTACAATCTAGAAAAGCAAATTTTTTTAAAGCAAATCTTGAAACAATATTTCACTTTTTATATTTATTTTTCCCATTTATTCACATATACACACCAAGATCTATGCCTATGCTATGGTCTGAATGTTTGTGTCCCCACCAAATTCAAATATTGAAACTTAATCCCCAGTGCCGTGGGATTAGGAGGGGGGCACCTGGAAGGTGATTAGGTTATGAGGGTGGAGCCCTTATTAAATTAGTGCCCTTATAAGAGATGCCTGAAAGAGATTGTTTGTCCTTATAGCAGGCACTATCTATGAGGAGTAAGCCCTCACGAGACAGCAAATCTGCTGAAGCCTTGATTTTGGACTTTCAAGCCTCCAGAACTGTGGGCAATAAATTTCTGTTTCTTATAAGTTACCCAGTCTAAGGCGTTTTGTTATAGCAGCCACATAGACAACATATATTCACAGTCATATGCATGAACAGAAGAAGGCTAGATAGCTATATATCAAAATGTTAAAAAGTAGTTACCTCTGGCAGGATTTATTTTTACTTAATATCATTTTGAACGTCTCTAAAATTCAACATTTATGACTTGCATTAACTTTAGAAGTCCGAGTGCTAAATCTTATGCTTAGAAATCTGATTATCAAACTATATTCTTCTGCCTCTTCAAATCCTATTCAAAATTTTATTTACAGTTCACATCCTCTATAAAAAGTTCTCTCATATCAAAGAGTTTTTATGATATCAGAATGTAAAGTCTTGTATCACTGCCTATTTCATATATTCTTGTGTGTCCTCAGTGCTCCTTGAAGGTCAAAGATATTTTCTCCTTGTCTTGTATCTTTCAAACTACCTTAACACAAGACTTAGAAGCAACATAACAGGCACTGAGCAAAAACTAACTAAACTGATTAATAATCAATTTCTTGGATACAGCAGCCAACAGTTTATAACGTTGTCAAGCAAAAGACAGGAGCTTTGCTGTCCAAGTTAAAAATTATTAGAGAAAAGTTCATCAACCTATCCAAGTACTTTAAAGATCTCTTTATGTCTTCACCTTAAAAGTTAGTTGTTTTTCCTAAGGAAAATTATGCTCAAGATATTCATGCCACATGATTTCTAGATACTTCTAATGAAAGCTTATAATAATAATGAGATTAACTATGTGTTTTCTGATCAAGATTTACTGTCCCTTGAGGTAAACACTGACTTCAGCATTTGCTTGGGTCAATATTTAGCACTCAGGCCAATCAATCTTGATCTTCTCTTCAACAGAAGGCAATATTGGCTGAGTATTATATTTCATTTGCATTACATAAAGCTATGAGTATGCCAGTCTCCCAGAATGCAGTCTATAAGAGATACAAGTTAAAAAGAACTATGTCTATTCAATCACTCTTCTGCTCATTAAGTTGCATTAAAGGCAGCTCCTTGATTGCCTAGAAATCACAAGCTAGCTTAAATGCACAGATCTATTCTCTAAATCCTCTAGCTACATAAATAAGAGTTCCATGGATTAAGCTCCATTCTATCATTCCAGCCATTGCAAAGGGGCTGTAAAATGTGGGGCTAATCATCATAAGCAGCCTAAGGGGAAAAATGGGCTTGCTTTACAAAAAACAGGTAGTTTTCAACTTTTATAATATCTAGTAATGTGAAGTGATAACTTCCGAGGCAACAGTTTTTTTAAATAATATTTTAGTATTTGCCATATGCCTGACACTGTTAACACCTCACAGGTATTAACTTATTTAATCCTCATGAGCACCCTCATGAAACCATTACCTTTACTGTCCCCTTTATAAATTCATTCATATATCCATTCAATAATAAACAATAAATATTAATTGAGCAATTTTATGTGCTAGACATATAGCAAGTAACAAAATTACCTCCCTTTTCTCAAAGAGCTCACACATAGTGGCCAAAACTAATTACAACATAAACTATGGTAGTGAGTGTAAACAATTTATATGTCCTGCTCATCAGAAAGGTATCACTAATGAGGAGACCTTTTGATGAAGACCTAAGAAAGTCAAAGAGTGAACTATGCAGTCATCTGGAGAAAGAATCCCAGGCAAAGAAAAATAAACAGCAATTACAAAAGTTTTTAAGGCAGAAACATGCTAAGAAATGATACAAAGGCCTGAACAGTTGGAGTGAAATGAACAAGAAGAAGGTTCAAGAAGAAGGTGAGAAGAGCCTGGTTAGGTGAGGCAGTAGTTCTCAAGTCCAGGTGCCATTAATTGACAAAATATCTCATACTGGTCCATTTCCAGTATGAGAGAGTAAATAAGTCAAAAAAGGCTTCCTGATTAGAGCAATTCGAAAAACTGGACAAAACAAACAATAAATATCTGTTCCTGGACGATGAAGAATTTTAAAATCAAGATCTGGGAGGTGAGCCAGGCACGGTGCCAAATGCTTGTAGTCCCAGCTACTCCAGAGGCTGAGGCAGGAGGATTCACTGAGTCCAGGAGTTTGAGGCTAAAGTGGGCTATGGTTGCACCTGCAAATAGCCACTGGACTGCAGCCTTGGCAATATAGAAAAGCCCTGTTTAAAAAAAAAAAAAAAAAAGATACGGGAGGTGAAAGAAATTCTCTGCATTGGGGGTCACATTAACCCTAGGGGCATCTTCCGAATCCAGAAGAGGTCACTAAAAACTGAAGAGAGTAATGTCAACAGGCTTCCAGGTCTCAAGGAGTCCGAAACTAAAGTTCAAGGTCCAAGCAGAGAACGGATGGTGACCCCCTCCCCCTACCCTGCACTCTGGGTTGGGCCTCTGAAATGTTATACTCTAGAAGTAAAATGAACTGGAAATAGCATGGCCCTCACAAGGATGAAAGCCAAGGTTCAAATTATAATTTTTTCTTTTTGAATTGGAGTCCCGCTCTGTTGCCCAGGCTAGAGTGCAATGGCATCATCTCGGCTCATTGCAACCTCTGACTCCAAAGTTCAAGCAAGTCTTTTAACTCAGCCTCCCAAGTAGCTGGGATTACAGGTGACCGCCACCACACCTGGCTAATTTTTTTTTGTTATTTTTAGTAGAGACAAGGTTTTGTCATGTTGCCCAGACTGGTCTTGAACTCCTGCCCTCAGGTGATCCAACCAGCTTGGCCTACCAAAGTGCTGGCATTACAGGACTGAGCCACCATGCCCGGTCTCAAATTATCTTAATCTCTGACTGCACTGAAATGATCTAGGGCTGCCAATTCTGTTGGCCACCTCCCAGAAACAAATATAAATCCTCCCTGGAGGAAGATATCATTACTCTAGATTTTAAATTATCTATAATTTCTTATTTTAAAAATCCAGCAATCATAAGCAGGCAAATGAGAAGATATCATGATTAGAAATCAAGAGAAAGAGCAGACAATACAAACAGACCCAAAACAGACCCAGATGACAGGCCTTTCAAAAACAAACTTTCTTAAAAATAATTTCAGGAAGAAAATCTGAAGCTATAAAAGAGCCAAAAATCTATAAATGAAAAATATAAACTAAAAACTGGCAGGCCTGCAAGGGGAAATGGTAAATCCACAATAGATGGGAATTGACAGAGCTCTCTCAGTAATTAATAACAACATCTGAAAAACATACAATGAACAAATGACATGACCTAACATGAAAAAAAATATTATGACCCTCAACTACAGAATATACATACTTTTTCAGAGCAAAAAAAGACCATATGCTGGGCCACAATATACTCAACAAATATTGAAGGACAGAAATCATACAATGCATGGACAGCAGAATAAGTAAAACCTCAAAAACAAAAGAGTTAACTACAAAATCTTCATTGGTCTGCAAATTAAGCAATAGCATCTAAATACCCAACAGGTAAAAAAAAATTAGGAATAAAAGAAAGTAAAAAATAGCTTTAACTAAATAATAAAAATAAAAATGCCCAAAGAATGTGATGTACATAAATCTGTGCTTAAAGGGAAATTTACCATCTTAATAGTATATACAATAAGAGGCTGAAAAATCAATGAGGTATTCACCCAACTCATAAAGTTTAAAAACAAGAGCAGCAAATTAAACCCAAAGAAAGTCATAAGGAGGGAAAACTACAGATAAGAGCAGAAAACAAATAAAATAGAATACAAATATACAACAGAAGACAATGAACAAAGCCAAAAGTTAATTTTCCTGTAAAGACTAATAAAAATAAGTTCCTAGGTGAGAGTCATTTGCAAAAAAAAAAAAAAGGGAAGATACAAAATATAAAAAGACATTACTACAGATACTACAAACAATAAAATGAGGACCTTACAAATTATTTTATTCCAAAACACTTTAAAATTTAGGTGAAATGGAAAAATTCTTAGAAAAGCACAGCTTACCAAAGTGTCACAAAAAAATGGAAGTCTCATGCTTATTAAGGGAATCAGATCCATAATTTAAAATATTTCCACAAAGAAAACACATGCCAATGGCTTCACTGATGAATTCTTCCAACAGTTAAAGAAAAACTAACACCAAACATATTCAAACTTTTCCAAACAATAGAAAAAGAGGCAATACATTGTAACTCACTTTATGAAACCAGCATAACCTTGAAGTCAAAGCTTAACACAGGAGAATTGCTGGTCAATCTAACACACAAATACCTGCATTTTTGACTTGCCCAAAAAAACCTACATGATTATATATATATATATATATATATATATATAT